GGCAAAAAAATCCCTATGAAACTGTTATCTCCAATTAACTACTCAAAAATAGGAAGTGGAGCTGTGGCTCAAGGTGGTACAGCACTGTCTCTGAGCAAAGGAGCTCAGGGACAGAGCCCAGGCTGTGAGTTCAAGCCCCATGACATTAAAAAAAAAAAGAAAAGAAAGAAATTGTGGAAATCAACCTTTATGAAACAGTTCAAATAAACATAAATAGAACTAAACAAAGAATTTATCTTAAGTACCACATTATTTTTTTAAATAAAGCATTTCTAGGTACCAGTGGCTCACACCTGTAATCCTACCTACTCAAGGGGCTGAGATCTGAGGATCATGGTTCAAAGCCAGCACAAGCAAGAAAGTCCATGAAACTCTTATCTCCAATAAACTACTCAGAAAAAGCCAGAAGTGGCGCTATGGCTCAAGGAGTAGAATGCTACCCTTGAGCAAAAGAAGCTCAGGGACAGAGCCCAAGCCCAGAGTGCAAGCCCCAGGACCAGCCAAAAAAATATTTTTAATAAAAATAAGGTGTTACAGGAACAAAGAACTATGCTTTTGTGGCCCTAATTTTAAGATAACATCAAAATCAATGCATGAGACTTCTGGTGTAGCCATAAGGGGAAAATCAACGACAAGTACATTGTATATATGTAGTCTATATACCCTAAGATAGAGGAAAGGCTGGAAATTATTCTTAATAGTGTTTGATCCCCAAATAACATCTTACAATTTTAATAATGTAACTTTGCATAACACACAATATAGCTTTGCAATCTCTGTAAACTAAGAATGAAAAGCCCTACATAGTAAAAAGATGCTGAAATAATTTAAGACTAAATTCAATCTTCATATGAGGATCTTAATTAGGATTCTCCATCTAATGCAAAAATGGAAAGTATTAACTAACCAGAATGGTTGGTCTAGCTTACCAACTTAAGATTATCTACAAATCATAATTGAAATTGTTTTTTAAAAATAAGACAGGTTATAGTGACATGGTAAAAATAAAACTGTGAACAAAATGTATTCAAAAATTTCCTTAAAATAACTATCATTTTAATGATGAGTTCTCCTAAAAAATTCTTGAACATAACACTTTTTGTATTTTTTAAATAAACTAAAAGATTAATATGGCCACCTAGAGGAGAAAACATGATTAACAAATATGTCACCCCCCCTTTTTTTCTTTTTTCCTAGAATACTTGTTTTCTATGTTTGTAGCAATACAACATACAGTGGAAGCAACACATTGTATGAAATAAACTTAGGAAGACAGTAGAGTAGCCCGAACCTAATAACGTTAGTTTTGCAGTGAACCTGAAAAGTACAATTTGGAGTAACTTAACTAATATCAAGGTCTGTCTTTATTTCTGCAAAATGAGGGATAATCTCACCTACCACAATGAATTGTAGTGACAATGCGCAAAGAAACTAAACATCAGGCACACTTTAGGATCTCAGTCTATGGTAGTTCTTAGTACATAGTCAAAGTTTATGCTGTGAAGTGTTGATGTAGGGCTAGTTACACAGGTGTGCAACCAGCTGGTACAAATGTGTATCGGAAATAAATTCTCTTCCTTCCTACATATATGCAGAGGAGTATAACTATTGGTAGGTGGGAAGAAGAAAGTAGATTGTCAGGTTTACAAATTCCTTCAACTTACTTCCTTGGTAACAAAATATGGCGTGGTAACAAAATATGGCAGGAGCTGGGTGCTGGTAGCTGACTTTTGTGCTCAATTTCTTTTGATTTATTCATTAATGGATTGATTTTTGCCAGCAGTTGGTCAAAACTCCATGTAATAATAACCCTGTGAATAAGGCAGGTTTAATATAAAACTAATTTGAGAATGTCTGAAATCAACGTACTCTGGTGGTTTATCCAATAGTTTAGGGCAGATATGTACAGAAAAGTTCAGGATAGGCCTTAAACATGTGTGTTGAACAAAATGAGAAGCTGGCTTTCATACCCATACCAGTTGCAAAGGTGAGGGCAAGAACAGAAGAGCCACAGTTTTAGCTCACTTCTAGCTGCTCAGGAGGCTGAGATCTGACAATCAAGATTGGAAGCCAGCCGGACAGGAAAGTCCATGAGATGCTTATCTCCAATTAACCCCCAGAAAAATGGAAGTTTACACTGTGGCTCAAAATGGTAGAGTGCTAGCCTTGAACAAAAAAAGCTCAGGGACAGCGTCTACTCCCTGAGCTCAAGCCCCATGACAAACAGGAAAAAAAAAGGTATTATCTTACATATACTTTCCCCTTAATAACACTTATCTGGCTTCTTCACTACTCTATTTCACTAGAACTTCAAATTAAAGGTACTGATTCACCTTTATTGGAAAAAGGGGTTCATCTGCACCCTCATAATCATTAATATCTATACCATCCTAAAATTCTCCTTCCGTGGATAATAAAATGCAAGTCTAATTGTCTTCTTTTACCATCTCTTTTGTCATCTCTTCTCTTTATGTAATATTTCCTCTATAGACAATCTTTATCAATGTAATCTACTATCACTTCTCTATCTCTAAGTACATGTAATTTGAAAACTTCTCTCCCTGACCCTATTTAAGATTGCATGTTCAATAACCATTTCCAAATGCTTAAATATCCTATTTTTATCACACGTAAGAAATGAAGTATAACATCTCTCCACTTCCAACAACAGCAACAACAATAACAAAAAAGAAAAACAGAAATTCTCTCTAGATCTCATGTTTATATGATTGACTCCAACATTCTCCTGCATGTACATGATGGAAACCTGTGCTTTCTTTGATCTTCCTATTTTTCTAATGTTCAAAACATATTCAGTTCCCAAATCCAGCATTATCTCTCCTGTCCTCACATATTCCTATTGGCACTACTCTAATTCCGTTTTTAAAAATCATTTTTCACAGACTATTCCAAAGATATCACTGATATCCTTTCCAATAATTCTCCTGATGCTAAATTCATCTTTCTACAGCACACCCTGCTCATGATTTCTAGCTGAAAAACCCTTCAGTACGTTCCCACTGGCTAAAAAACAGAACCCAATTTCTTTTGATTTATTCATTAATGGATCGATTTTTGCCAGCAGTTGGTCAAAACTCCATGTAATAATAACCCTGTGAATAAGGCAGGTTTAATATAAAGCTAATTTGAGAATGTCTGAAATCAATCTACTCTGAAATCAATCTACTCCAGTAATTTAGGGCAGATATGTATAGAAAAGTTCAGGATAGGCCTTAAACATGTGTGTTGAACAAAATGAGAAGTTGACTCTCATACCCATACCAGTTGCAAAGGTGAGGGCAAGAACAGAAGAGCCACAGAGATTATACTTCCCTCCTCACTGTTCTCCCTATAGACTATTAGGCTGTGCTAGAATAACAAGACTACAGGGAAAGAACAATCAAGACAGTAGAGGGACACAGTATAAGGAGGGAGAAAGGAGTGCATATGGGGACAATGCCTAAACAGTATCTGTAGAAAGGAAAGTAGCTATGGTTACCAATCTCACACTGAGAACTCACATACCTGCTCATTACCTGCTCGATACCATCACCCCAGTTTTCACTAGTCTCATCTTCAACTGGATTGCACTTACCTAGTAGGTGCCAAATACCCTCTAAAAATTGTACTACATACACCATTTGGTATTCATGAAAACCCTATCAGGTTTCTCTTATCTTACAAAGTGCATCATCTTTAGTATGAAGCCAAACACAAAAATAGATATTTTGCCCACTGACAACTTATATACTGGGTAAAACTTTAATTCATCAATAGTAATAGACACTAAAACACAAGTCATAGCTATAAAATCAAGGATAGTTGGTATTTTACATAATAAAAAGTGATATATTGTCCTTTTTATATATGGTATAAAGATAATTGTTATGTCATTTTATTGAGTGAGAAATGTACTTAAATGTAGGAATAAATATGCTTTAGTGATAAATCTTTTATATCTACTACAGAAATATGTAAAAACAAATGTGGACATGTACCTGGACTTGTACCTCCCATGTAAGTTTTGTTCTAAAGTCCATGTCAGCAAAGAAAGGGAAACCTATTAGAGATGGAATTATCCTTAGAATTATTGAAATCCTTGATAATCCAATAAACTGTTTTTGAAGCACAGTTCTCAATAAACCTACCTCAGACAGTATTTCTCTCCCACAAAGAATAGATTCTGTCTTTCACTGTGTGCCATGTGAAGCCTTTGGCTGTTATTTAGGGGGCACATTGAATGAAGAAGTATACATTTACATATTGGATTTCAACAATGTGACCCTTAGTCCCTATCAGCTCCTAACAAGGTATCTGGGGATTGATGTCATCTGAGAGAACAGCAGCTTCTCATCTGTCACCTCCTGTATGCTAGGCAAAAGCTCACGATGGAAAGACAGCCACAGTCAGCAGCCTCGACAGTGAGCTAGCTGTGGGATTATCATCTTAGGACAATTGTGCTGCTCCCTCCCCCAGGGGTTCAAAGGCCCTTCATTTCTGAAAGTTTATTTGTTCCCCCACCAGACCAGGAGCCAGCTGAAATGCTCCTGGCTTTCTTGGGAAAGGTGAAGCACCAAGGCTTCCCCCAGAACCCAGATCATCCCCAGGGGATGAAGTGAGAGTCCACGGCAGTGAGACTGGGAAACCAGGTCTGGCTCCCATCCATCTGCCCCAGAAGCTTTATCTTTCACCTTGTAATGAGCTCATCTTTTCTGCTCAAGCTTTTTGCTGTTCTCGGCTTTTTCTATACTCGCTCACATTGCTCACATATCACTTGTGGAATAGGAGCTACAATTATGACATTATTTAAATCATTCAGTGTTTTGGAACTAGTTTTGATTTTTGGCTTCAACCCAAACTTTGACTTTGAATGAATTTATCTTTTCAGACATGTGGCTTCACTGACTGCATATGCTCTCTTGTTTACTGTTCAACCAAAGATGCTTAGATTTGAGATTCAAATAATCTGATCATGGTCATTAAAAAATAAGCTGGCTTACCTTCATCTATTGATGCTTCACTGCTGTATCCATCATACTCTGCCGATAAAGGACTGTATTTTTGCCTTGTTTCCCAGCCATAGTTTGTCTGTCTAGAATCAACCAGTGGTAGTCTAGAATTGTGTGTTCTGGATAAGGCCTCTTGATATTTACCCAGTGCTTCATCTTCACTTTCAGAGGATGAACCACACTCATCTTTATCCATATAGGAATTATCTATTTGGAAAGACAGGGAGAGGAAATGATCATTTTAGTACACCAAAGTATTAGCATATATATATGCACATTTTATGCATATACATGTATGCATATCTATATAGATATAGTCACATATCCATATAAATACAAACACATGTTCAAACACAAACATATACATATATCATCACACAGGATGAAAAACCAAATAACCCTTAAGATGACTCAAATTCTTGAAAATTCCTTAAAGTATGTTTAAAGCCTAGTGTAATAGATAGGTATATGTGTGTATATGTACACACACACCCTGAATTTTCAGCTTTAGAGAAACATAATTTTTCATAAGAAGCCCAAATTTCAGCTTTTTATGTTTGAATAGAAAAAAAATCAATTCTGTATTCCCGTTATATAGTCTTAGTCAAAGGGACTTTTCCTCCATGTTGCATACATAGGAAATTATGATTCTTGTCACTAAAGAACATACAAATGAAGTTATTAGTTCTGCCAATACATATGGATCTGATCCAAATAATTTGTGTTTAAAGATATGCTTCCAATTTTTATTTTGGCCTTTATTTCCAAAACTAGCAATGCTCAGTGCTAACAATAAAACAGAAATGGTACTCTTGGTGCAATTTTAATAGGTACAAATTTTCTAGAGAGTAAATTGGCAAAACATATCTAACTTCTAAACCTGTAGTCTTGATCCATTTCTAGGAAATTGCCAAGTTCATTTCTAAGAATTCAGCCTAAGAAAATACATGAAAAGTAATCAAAGATATTAGATACATGTTAAAGCAAAAGAAAACCAAAGTAATAAATAATTGGTTAGGTAAGTTATGGTACACCTACAAAATGATATGAATTTTGGGTTACTCCCAAGGAACAAACAATTACAACAGCACATTAAGAGAATAGAGGTTGGGGGTGGGGTGGGGGGAGGACGGGATGGGAAGGGAAAACAAAGGAGGAGGCTACAATGCTTGATAAGAAATGTACTCATTATCTTGCCCATGTAATTGTAACCCCTCTGTACAGTATTTTCACAATAAAAAAAATTAAAAAAAAGAGAACAGAGGTTATAAAAGAGAAGGTATAATTATATTTACATTATAAATACATATACCTCATGAAATATATTCACACAGATATGCAGTATATTATGCAACAATATATGCCAAACTGCTAACACTTACTAAGGAAAGAGAATTGGTGGAAAAGTTTTACTTAAATATGCCTATGCGGGGCGCTAGTAGCTCACGCCTGTAATCCTAACTACTCCAGAGGTTGAGATCTGAGGATCACGGTTCAAAGCCAGCCCAGGCAGAAAAAGCCTGTGAGACTTTTATCTCCAATTAACCATCAGAAAACTGGAAGTGACACTGTGGCTCAAGTGGTAGAGTGCTTACCTTGAGCTGAAGAGCTGAGGGATAGCGCCCAGGCCCAGAGTTCAAGCCCCACAACTGACAACAACAACAAAAAGCCTCAATTTCAAATAATTTCTTTGGCAGTTTGAACCGAGGGCCTCATACTTGCTGGCAAGTGTTCCCCCACTTAAGCCACAACGCCAGATACTTATTTTTGCTCTAGTTACTTTTTGGATAGAGTCTCACAGGGCCAGGGCCTGCCTATGACCCCAATCCTCCTACCTATATATCCTACCTATACCTTCCATTAGCTGAAGTCGTAGGAATGCACTCTACCTGGCTAATTTTTTGTTGTTGTTGTTTTTGGCCTGGACTGCCCTTGAACTTTTATCCTCTTAATCTTCTCAAACAAATTTTAAGAGGTATAAACTTCCATATCACTTTACAAAGCAATAGTTATAATTCACTACATTGTGTGTCGCCATCGGCACTATATGTTGCCAGTAGTCACATGCCTATTTAAATTTAAATTAATTTCAGTGAAACAATTTAAAAGTAATTCCCTGCGCCATCAGCATAGCTGAAGTTTCAAGAAGCACATGGGGCTAGTGACTATCAAATGGAACAATACAACAGGTAAAACTTGCCATCGGAAGTTCTGTCAGACAGCACTGCAATGACAGCACAGCTGGTCTACGAACCAAAGCCTTCTGACCCCAGTTTAGAGCTGTGAATATTTTGTGTTATCCTACAGTGATATCTCAGGGCAGCCGGAAGGTGGCAAGCTCCTCTATGAGGAGCAAAGGAAACTCTTCTCCTCATTCTACACCTTATAACTTCTATAGCAGAACCTAGCACTCAGATTCGAGTAATATTACAGTGCAGCTAGAAGTGTTCATCTGCGGGTCAAAACAGAAAGGGAGGGAGGGTGAACAAATGCAATCATTCTATTCTGTATACACATGTGGAAAATGACCTATGTAACTGTGGGCAGGGATGGGAGGGGGAACTAAAGGAAAGTGAAGGAAGGGGTGGCATTGTCCAAATAAAGAAACATACTCATTACCTGACTTATGAAAGGGTAACCCCTCTGTACAACAGCATAATAATAACAACAAAGTTATATTTAAATAACACTGTCAAGGAAGTGGAGCTGTGGCTCAAGTGGTAGAGTGCTAGCCTTGAATAGAAGAGCTCAGGGACAACACCCAGGCCCAGAGTTCAAGCTCCATGACCGACAAAAAAAAAAAAAAAACCACTGTCAAAACAATTTTTGAAAATGTGTTTTATGTTTGGTATTGACTATTCTGTAATATCTGAGAGGTATGTGTTTTCTTTTAGTTCCTACCTTTTTTTTTTTTGTCCGTCATGGGGCTTGAACTCTGGGCCTGAGTGCTGTCCCTCAGCTCTTCAGCTCAAGGCTAGTGCTCTACCACTTGAGCCACTGCACCACTTCCAGTTTTCTGAGTGGTTTATTGATGATAAGAGTCTCACAGAGTTTCCTGCCCAGGTTGGCTTTGAACCGCAATCCTCAGACCTCAGCCTCCTGAGTAGCTAGGATTACAGGAGTAAGCCACCATCGACCGGCTCAGTTCCCACTTCTTCAATATTTATAATCTTTAAGTAGTTGTACAAAGGAGTTGTCATTCAACAAAACAGTTTATAAATAGAATACATCTTGATCAATGTCACCCCTTTTAACGTTCTTACCCATCCTTTCCAAACCACCCCTTTCCTCATAGGTACCCACTCTTTAGGTACCTTCTTTAGGTGCTTTGCTTCTTAGTGAACACAAAGCAAAACAAAATTAAAATCCTATACTACTACTTATTGTTCTTTGCTAAATAAAATGAAAAACCTATATTTCTTAATTGTATGTCTTATGTATTTACTTCAAGTAATAACTCTACCAGAACTAAACCAGGGCTACCAAAACATTCTGAATCTGCCCTCCCACCCTCTACCCCGTCCAAAATAATACCTGGCCATAAGGATAGACTCGAAATGGATATATTTTTCACAGGCTGGCATTGGTTTCTAGTGAGCCCATCCATCCTGATCAACCTCTTCTAACCCATTTTAAAAACATTCATACAATTGGTAAATACTAATATCTACTATTTATGAGCCATGTAGAAGTACTAAAGAATGCTTTTCTCAATTTCCTCTGCTAACTAAGCTTTTTGTTATTTTATGAGAATCTGAATTTATAGAAAAGTCATTTACACATCTTATAAATAAAAGCCAGTATATTTTGGCCTTGTGATTGGATCAGCAATAACTAAAAATGACTAAGGAGTCTCAGAAGGATGTACTAAAAGCATGAACTGAAATATTTTGAAAATTATGGTTGAAAACTGTAAGTGCTTACACAAAATCTTAATTCTATATAAAGAACTCATGAATAATATAGTTTATGTACACTCAGAATGAACTTGAACAGTTATAAAAAGGTTTCATTGTATGGCTAAGTGAATAAAGATTCTGAAGCATGTGACGGAAAAATATGGGCAGATTTGAAGAACAATATTAAATATATGATGTAGAAAATAACTATTTTTTTTGTCTCCCTTTTTTGGCAGCACTGGAATTTTGAACTCAGGTTATTCTGTCACTTGAGCCATGCTTGCAGTCTAAAATATAAAAATTTTAAATGCAAGTGTAGCCCAACAAATAAACTCACTAAAATAGGCACACTACTTCAGAAAACCACAGATTTTCATTATAAATTAAATGATAATTAAGAAAAATTAGGACTCCTCAAAAACTGGCCAAATTATGTATTGATCAGGTGTAACACACAGAGGTATACATACATACACATATATATATATATATATATATATATATATATATATATATATATATATATGAATGATCTAGAAATTCTGTGGATAAAAAACTGAATGGTTCTAAAAATGTCTTGCAGTCAGAGGATTCAAGGAAGTCTTAAACTTGATATATAGACATGAACAGGAAAAGAGATTTGGATGTTTCCCTAATTGAAAAAAAGTTAGAGAAAATTCAACCATTCAAACTAACATTAGGAGACCTCACCTTTTTCTAGTGTTATCTTACAATGTTTTTCAAGTTTATTCTTTGTTGTTCCTTGTTTGGCAGAATTGGCTTCATTTTTCTCTGTTTTTATGTCTCCTCTCAATCTGTAGTATTTTGTTGGGTTTATTTGTTCTTTGATTTTTCCAGAAAATTTATCTTTAGGATTAGCCGATGGTGCTGGATATATGTCTTCTTTCATAATTGATTTCTGTATCGTATGTTGGTTGTGTGTCAGAATCTCTTTTGGAGAGCATTCATTTCCTGAATACCCATTCCCTTTGAGTCCTTTACTTTTAATGTATTTTTCGGCTTTCTTTAAATGATTCCCATGTTCTAAATTAGTAAGATGCTTATTTTTGTTGAAATGCCTCATTTTCTCTTGATCTTTTCCCATAAATGCATGTTGAGATTTAGTATATTCTTCTCCTTCATTCTTATCTGTAGCAATAAACTTCTTTTGCTCACATTGTATGTTTATGCCAATGGTGGCATTGTGATTTCCTTTCATTTCATGGTATCTTAACTGCTTTAAATCATTTTTGTCATTACTAGAACTTACTAACCCAACTGTTTTACAAGTGTCATTATATTCAAGTTCATGACAAGCAGATCCAGTCCTCGTACTCTGCTTGATAACAGATACTCTACCACTCATATTATGGCCTTTCAAAGAAGAATCACCAGCATTATCAGCTTCCTGATAATTCAACAGGGTCTGTTGCCTATCAATATGGCTAAGTGATCTTCCCTCATGCATTCCTTGATCACACATTTCTGAAGCTGAAGTGTTAGCATCATTTACTTGCTTTGTTCTGTGTTCTAAATTGGACTGTGCTTTCTGACAAGCATTGATTTTGGAGACTTCTGGTAGAGGGGCATTGTTTGTGGCAGAAGAACCTGCAGTTTCTTGTGCTGCAGAGCTTTCCTCTTCTGGGTGAAAGCCATGCATCATGCTTGTCACCTGCTCAGCAACGGAGTCAGTGAAAGCATAGCTCACCTCCCCAACAGCAGTGGTCAGATCTTCCACAGCACTACTAATTGTGTCCACCAAGGAAGACACCGAAGGTAGATTCTGCTGAAAAGTTTTGAAAAATGCCATATTCCAATTCTTTGTTCACAAAAGGTATGATCATAAAATCTGCTCTTCTCAAAGTATCCACCACTTGGGAACTTGAATTTAACTTTTATTTATTTAAATATTGCTAAGTATGAGCTGAGTATTAGTGTTTCACACTGTGGCTTTTAATCTCATTTGGGAGAAATAAGTTGAAGTAAAAACTCTTCCGAAAAGACCCCAAAAACAAAAATCAAATCATTTGGCTTAAATATAATGACATTTTTTTTCCCACTCCATAACTATAACAGCAGCAAGACAACGTTTTCCCCTCAAATACTACTGTTTCTTTTAAATTTTATACCTGAAAGAAGAAGTATAAAAAAACACTTTTATTATGTACTTTTAATTTACTTATTAATAGTCTACATAAGAGAACAACTCCTATAGACAGACTACCAATTTAATTTCAAATAAAGAATTAAGAGGAAACTATCTACACAATCTGGCACAGAGGGAAGAAGAAGGAAGAACAAGTATGGACATCTGCTGAGTGGCATGTGCAAGGCATAACCGAAACATTTAAATATATAGGATTTTCTATTAACTCTATGAGTAAATGTTAATTCTGTTTAATGAATGAAAAATACCAAGACTCAGAAACTTAATAACGGCTATGAGATCTTTTCTCTGGCTCTTCAAGGTCAAATTAGGTTAATAATAACAAAAAGGGAAAAGTTACCATTTTCACTCATTTGCTTACAAGTGCAAACCGGGGTTTTCAAGAACCTAGACTGACTGTTCAGGCCGATAATAGAATCAGGCTGGTTGCTCTATGTCAACCATTAAAAAGATATGCAAAAACCCCACAAACCCCCCCCCAAAAAGCAAAACAAAACAAAAAAACAAACCTGTCACTCTTCTTTCCAAATCTTCGGATAGGAAAATACTGATTTTTCTAATTTAGAAATGTCGCTTACATTAACATATGAAAATTTTATTGCTCGGTTAAAAAAAAACCTAATCGGGTGCTGGTGGCTCACTCCTGTAATCTTACATCTGTAATCCTAGCTATACAGAAGGCTGAGGTCTAAAGACAGACATTCAAATCAAGTCCTGGCAGGCAAGACTGTGAGTCTCAATTAGCTACTAAAAAGCCAGCTATGGCTCAAGTAGCAGAGTGCTAGGCTTCAGCAAAAAAACTGAGGGTCAGTACCCAGGGTCTACATTCAAGCCCCAGGACCAACAGACTAACACACACACACACACACACACACACACACACACACACACACACACACACACACACACACGTGCGCTCTCTCTCTCTCTCTCTTAATAGGGGTTAAGATGTAGATCAGTGGTAGAACACTTGTCTAGCATTGCAAGGCCTCGTTTCCATGTACAGAATCACTCACCAAAATAAATAAATGGAATAAAAATAAATAAATAAAAGTATTTTAAAATGTTCTAGTAGGTACTATATATTTTTATATAAATAAAAAACCCTGGGATCATAAATAATTGTAAATTATTGTAATTAGATAAAAGAAATATTGGAATGCTGACCCAGAGAACTATTGAAGCCTGCTAATAAAGACATCTATGCCTAGTACATTCCACACAAACGATTAAAATTAGGACTGGAGTGGAATATGAGAAACATCGAAATTACCTGAGCCAAAACCACATAAAGTAATAGTGTTCCCAATGCAAAAAACTCAAAATGTAATTTAGTAATCCATAGATTTTTAAATAATAGGTCTATCACCTAACCTTTCAGTTATTAGAAAAGAATTTCTCCAGCACACACACACACACACACACACACACACACACATATACTCAAGGTTTCTATGCTTATTCCTCAAAACAGTTTTAAATTACCACCTATATAAATTCCAACTTACTCCTGGTATCATTTATACAAACAAGTCCTTGAAAACAACAACTAAAAAACTCCTGTAATTATTAAAAGAAAAACAGCTAGGCTCTGGTGGCTCACACCTATAATCCTAGCTACTCAGGAGGCTGTGGATTGAAGCTGGCCCGGGCAGAAAAGTCCCAGTAAGAGTCTTATCTCTAATTAACTACTCAAAAACCAGAAGTGGTGCTGTGGCTCAAGTTGTAGAACACTAGCCTTGAGCACAAAGTTGCTCAGAGACAGTGCCCAGGCCCTGAGTTCAAGACTCACAACTGAAAAAAAAAAAATTAAAAAACAAGAACTCTCAAGGAAGGAAAAAAAAACAAACAGTACAATAGCCTTCTTTCCTAGTATCTAATAATACTAAGTAATAGAATGCCTATGGTGCCATGGTAGGGAGTGAAGCATTACTTTTTAGATGCAGTATTTATCTATATACCTCCCTCAAGCAATAAAATTATCCAACAGCTGTGTAAAGACAATGCCTTTGAGGGATATGAGCAGTGAGCTATTGGGCAATGCATTTAACCTGTATAACATACCAAGATATTCCTTCTTTCTAAAGCATATCTGTTCATATTATAGACTCAAAATCATACAATAAAAATGAAAAAACAAAAATATTCATTTGTGATAGGAGACAACTTACTTTTATGCAAATCTTTGTACTTTGTGGGACACAGAAAGACAAGTCTGAGTTCACTTAACAGTGCTTTTATTCTTACAGAACAGTGACTCAAATATAAGCTTACTATGTCATGTTTACTATATGCCACCCAATATGTTATTGTATGTATTAAAATAAAGAACAGTACAGATAAAAAAGGAGTTGTCTGATACTTACACATTTTATCTTGTGAATTCCTCCTTGTATCATATCCTGAACCAAGATCTGGAAACCCTCCAACATTTTCAAAACAGAACTTCTTATTAATATAGAGAAAAAGGAGCAGCATCAAGATAATAAACACCCCAACAGCTGACAAAAATCCAACTGCTTCTGGAGATACTAGAGAAAAAAAAGTCACAGCTGTAAGCATTTTTACTGTAAGCTACAAATAAGAAGGAAACTCCCATACATAAATTAGATTACTGCCTTATTTTAATTATTTTTAAATGTTTTATTTTTAAAATAGTTTATAAAAAACAAATCGACTTTAATGAGTTGTTCAATATATTCAAAAGCATTCAAAGTTACAAAATTCGTTATAAATAGGCAATTAACAAGTGTTTCATACATTGAAAAGTATTAAAAAATGGTAACACACAAGTTAGAAAAATTATTTCTCATGCAAAGAGATTAGCAAATTCATGAAGACATTTACGATGATTGACCTCACAGCTTCATTGACATTTACCTATTAAATTCTTTCTCTATTCTCCTTCTCAAAATATACTCCAGTCAAACGATTCTACTCCACTGCCTAAGAATCAATAATATTCAATACCACTCTTCTACTTTTGTTCATTCTCTTTCCCTTACTTAGAATGGTCAACTTTTCTAACGTAGCTCTTCGTTTCACTCATTCATTCAACTAACAAATATTTGGGGGGCTTCAGCCACACAACAGGCATTGTTACGTACACAGCTCCTGGTTTGCCTGATTTTTTTCTTTCCTTGAACAATCTAGTAAAAGAAGTTAGAACGCAGTGCAATCGAATTTGAATAGGGAACAAGAGGGACTATTAGAACTACTGGAACACCCAAGCCAGTGGCGAAAGTTCATGGAAGCTTTTCTTAAAGTTACAGTGATCTGATTCTATTTTAAGAATTAACAGGAATTAGACAAGTTAACACTGTTCAAGGCAGAAGGGACCACATGTGTGAATCCCTGCAGACAAAATGTCACTGTAACTTTGTTCTTAGGAGCTATCAAAATTTAGTCTCCAGAGAATACATGAAACTACTGAAAGAGATTTTTCTACAATGGGAAAAGATTAAACTTTTCAACTTTGGAAGTCCCCAGCAATCTCTCTTCCCTTTCAGTATTCCCATTATTTGTTACTGCATCAGTCATTGGGAGCTAAACAGGAACTGGTTTTTTGTATCTCTAGTACCTGACAAGTAGTAGTGAAGAATGACTCCTAAGCCTCAAACATGCCCTACAAGCTAAAAGCAACTGTATTTCCTTCCATCACTTAAGTAGCACCTACCATATATCTCCTCCCAATGTCATGGTAATTAGCACCTAACTTGTTTGTTCCAAATGAGGTCACCAACTGATGCTTTAATCTAGATTTTCATTATTTAGGAAAGACAGGCATGCTAGCAGGACCTGCAAGTATGATATTACAGTCTGTGAAAGCTGGTCAACAGTGTCGCAGAAGAAGATGAAGCAAAAGTGATGTTGTAAGAGAAATGCAACGTAAGTGAGATAAGAAAGGGGCAGAAAGAGTAGACTTCTAGCTAGATGCCAGGCTGGCCTTGAGGGACAGAACTCCTTGTTAGAATTAAGAAGTTACACCCAGGTATCAGTCTAGCCTGTCTTGCCCTTAGACCAGCATATAGCCCGAAAAGAAAACAGTATTTTAATGAAACAAGGTGAGGTACATTACATAAAAACAGTGGTGTGCAATAAGACCCCCAAAAAATGAAGTTAAAAAAAAAAAGAAAACTAAGGGGCTGGGAAGGTGGCTCAGTGGTAGAGCGCTTGCCTTGCATGCATGAGGCCCTGGGTTCGATTCCTCAGCACCACATAAGCAAAAAAAGAAAAAAGCCGGAAGTGGCTCTGTGGCTCAAGTGGTAAAGAGCTAGCCTTGAGCTGAAGAGCTAAGGGACAGCGCCCAGGCCCAGAGTTCAGGCCCCACGACTGGACCCCCCCCCCAAAAAAAAAAAGAGAACTAAAAGATTATCATCAGCATTTCTAGTAGCTTCCAGACAAGTAAAAAGTCTAGCATGAAGAGGCAAAAGAGAGCAGTACCTCAAAATTATACTGCAAATATCAAATATACATAGGAACTGTTCTCATAGCCAGACCTAAAACATACTCAGCAATGTAATGCCTTAAGTAGTTACCCAGGCTTAGTTACTATATAGTCTGAAAAGCTGATGTCTCTTCAAAACTAAAGCAGGGAGAAACCTAGTTCGGGCAATGAAGGCTAGCAAGAAACATATATGGCATGTACAACGTACCATTCATCTTCAAGCACCTTCCATATGTAAACTCATTTAATTCTCACAGAGATCCTATCATCATCCTCATTATGAACTGGGAAACAAAGATATGAAACGTGTGCCCAGCTAGGAGGCAGAACACGAAGAATTCAAACCCCACCCATTACTGCTGTCTCCTTTCGTTCTCTTCTCTTGACTTTTCTTATCCTTTACCTCATTGTTTTTTTTTATGTGCTACTCTTTTTATCTTCCTCCTTCTCGTTTTAGAAAATTCAACGTACTGAAAAGATCAGCTATGAAAAGTAAATGTAATATAAAATAAAAACTATAATTGAGATATTAATATAAATTACTGGAACACAAAGAAGAATCACAATCAGAAAAGTCACAAAATGGATCCAAAAAGATATATAATTGAGCTTAGTACAACAGGCTAATAGAAATGCCACCAACAGTGAAAGCACAGATAAAATCACAGGACTAAAGAAATGGCATTCCATAAGCACACCACAAGTGGCAATCCTGCTACCCAGCTGCCTATGCATCTTCAGTGCACTAGCATAGTGCCACCGAGTGGACACACAGACATTGAGAGTGAAAAATGAATGGATCAGTGAATTTCTACCTATGAAAGATCAAGAATATATCTTGAAAATTGTGACGGAAGAAAAAAGCAAGCTCTAAACTGTCAAAGAGCCTTGGATATCATTCTTAGGATCTTATATTTACGGAATGACATGGTACAGGTTTGTCTGGAAAAACTATATTGGTTAAAGCCCTTAGAAAACTTGAATAAGGTAGGGATACAATAGAGACATGATAAGAGTTCTTAAACAAGAAGCAGTAGTGATGGCATTGAGAAAAGGTAAATTCTAATCTTAGAATTCCATTAGTTACAATGAAAAATATAAGATGAGAGACATTTGTTTTAGGGTTCAAGGATAAAGAGATAAATAGAAGAAGAGAGGATGATAGCTAGTTGGGGGGAAAGTGTTTACTTTTTTGGCATGATTCATGAGGAATGTCAACAGAATGTTTCAGAGAGGAAAATACTACTTTTCTGTCTGCTGAGCACCATGCTAGTTACATAGATTGAGGTATCATTCCCTTTTGCTCCTCTTACTCTGTATGAAAAACTTTACTCACAAAATAATCAAACTGATCAATGTAGGTGCTAAGCTTTCATAATGGTAAATGGATTTCACTTCAAATTTTTAGATTAATATTTGCTGTGACTTTGGACAGTTTTCTAAAAGAACTTTTCCCCACTAGGACAAAGAAAAACAGGTCCATAGAGGATTTGTACAACTCCCTATTTACCTATAAAATTTCCATTAGCAATATAATCTTAGTTACTATACTTATAATCCCAGCTAGTAAGGAAGCCAAGATTGGAAGATCACAGTTTGAAGCCATCCAGGCAAATAAATCTGTGAGACTCTTATCTCCAATTAACCAGTAAAAAGTAAGAACTGGAGGCATGGCTCAGGTAGGAGAGTACCAGCCACCAAGATCAGAAAAAGCCAAGTGAGAGCCAGGCACTGGCACACCTATCAGCCTATCAGGAGGCTGAGATCTGAGAATTGCAGTTCAAAGCCAGCCCAGACAAAAAAGACCATGTAACTCTTATCTCTAATTAACCACAGAAAGCTGGAAGTGGAGCTGTGACTCAAGTGGTAGAGTGCTAACTTTGAGCATAAAAGCACTCAGACCCTGAGTTCAAACTCCAAGACTGGCAAAAAAAAGTGAAGCAAGAACAAAGACCCTGAATTCAAGCCTTAGTGCCAGAAATTTTTTTAAAAATTCATAAAATTCAGATATATATATATATATGACATATGACTCTACTATTTTAAATGGTGGTAGACAAGTAACCATTTCTAATTACAAATAGTAATAACCTTGGATCATTATTTTCATCTCTATTTTAGGAATAAAATAATATTTATTACTTCAAATTATATGATACCCAAAAGATGGCCAGTAACAGTTCCTAGGATTAAAACATGTGTTAAGTGTCATCTGTGCACAAAATTGCAGTAGAAGGTACACTAAAGATATGGTATTGATTATATCAGTCAATAAATACCAATTTATTCTTATACTTCACTAATAAAGTTGCATTAAGTAGAAGATTGTAACCATCCCATATTATGAATCTGCTATCAGGTATATTCTTAAGAATATGGTTAATTTATATATCATAAACCTATCCTTTTAAAGCTTTGTAAATCATACATGGCAGGTAATAAAACCTATTTTAAAATGTATGTTACCTCTTTAAAAAGACTTTCAAAATGTCTAAAGGAACATATCTAATGACCAATATTACACATATGAAAAACTGAACTTGGCAAATGTGGTCAATAGCCCCAAATTCACGAATGTACTATTTTCCCACAACCCAAAATTGTGAATTTTTAATGTGCAAAGTATTAACAGTGTTAACAATTACTGAACACTTACAAAGTGCTTATTATTTAGGAGCTATTTAAGTACTTTACTTGCATTGTCTCTTCCCTAAAACCCAACCTGATTTGATATAGATATTAGGATTCAGAATGAGCTAGTAAAAAATTTAAGATCTTAACATTATTATTTAGTGATAGAACCAGGATTTGAGCTGACTTTGTACACTGACACCTGACCCTGAACTGCTGTCAATCTCTTACCTTCATAATTGCCAGCTACTATTATAATCTCTTGCATTTTCAAATTTAATGTTCAAAATAAATTAATTAAGTACTAAATGTTAAATCTTCACAATAGTATACTGAGGCCTAGAAAGTAACTGATCTGTCCAAGATTTTAAATCTATGCAGTGGTAGAACCTGGATTTGAACACAGACCTTCTGACTCCAAAGTCTACTGGCTCTTTAAGGCCAGCCTACACA